GTTTCAGGACCCCACCTTGATGTTTCAGGACCCCACTTTGGGCCCCGACCCCAACTTTGGGAACATGCTCCTTTTTCCTCTCTCCCCTATCACTCTGAGCTCTCCTCAACACGAAGGGGAGGGGCTGCTAGCAACACATGCTGCTAGCAAGCAACTCGCTACGCGCATGCGCAGAAAAAGTATGTTGATTCTGAAGTTGCTGTGCAATCAGAGCTGATTAAATAATTATCTAACCTGCTTGTTTATCAGAACCTGCCTCTGACCGGATGCTCCGGTGCAGCATTTTATTTTTGGAACATAGCGTCGAGTTTAAATTAAAGTATCGATTGAGTATCCTTAGCATTGACCGCTCAACGTAACTATCATATTCTTTCTGTGGATTATCAGACACCAAGGACATGGAAAATTAAAAGAAAAAAAAAGACTAAGCAACTGAACTTCTGTTCTGTATATGAAGGTGTGTTCTGAAGACAAGATTTACATCATGACTCCAGTTTAGTGTAGCTAAATGCAAATTAAGGAATAAGTGGCATTATTATAAGTTCTATATTGTTCTACAGTAAATGCATTGCATATTCATAGTTTGTTTTGGTTTTTTAGCATTTCCCCACCATTAATCAAGCCCCCACACACAGAATTTCAGGCATGTAGTTATTTATTTATTCTAAATAACACCAGATCACATTGAGACCTGGGGGGTCTGATGAAAATAGGGTTCATATTCCGTCACAAACACTGACCTACAGAGAGTCACGTGCACTATTTTTTATTTATTTTTATTTATTTTTTTTGTAAATCCCCACCACCACAAATTCCCTAAGGGGAAACATTGGTTTTATTCCAAAAGAAAAGTATCYATAAGAGAACCGTTAAAATACCGGATCGATAAGCAGTACTGAGTAGTGGTATCAATAAACCTTAACGATACCCAACCCTACTCCTAAACTACCTCAACTTACTGTTTTTGATGGGAAGGAGCAGCAGCTCTACTCTAAGCTCCCCCCTGAATGACAGACCCTCTTACCTTATCTCTTAAGGCTGAGCTCCACCACCCTTTGGAGGACGTTGATTTCAATCGTTTGTATATGAGATCCCGTTTGTGTCATGATCCATGCCTCTTGTCCATAAGTTAAGGTTGGAACGTATACAGTGTAATATACACTCACCGGCCACTTTATTAGGTACACCTGTCCAACTGCTCGTTAACACTTAATTTCTAATCAGCCAATCAC